GATCCATCTTTTGCACAATTGGGGAGAAAACTAGATACGTCCAAACCACTTGGAATGTTTAGGTTAAATGATGATGAATTTTTGTTATGCTATGATGGTAATCATTTAATTACCTTTTTTTCATAGTATTTACTGACTTCAAGTCCGAATGTTTTATTTAAGATAATATTAATATTCATAATTTAATTTAGATATATTTTTCTATGTTAATAAGCATGGTGAATTATCGCGAAAAAATGTGATGGAATGGGAGGGTCATCCTGAAACGGTAGCATTGCATCTGCCATATATTATTGGATTTGATCCGCTGTTTATCGAGATACATGACGTTGAAACGGTTAGTAAAGTTCATTTACTGATACATTCTTAGAATTATGATAACACATCCGTTCATTGTTTATTATCACTTTTCTTAGGGGAAGTTATTGCAAGTAATACCGGGAAAGAACATGCGATGTTTGAACGATAATTCTTCGGGAAAGCACGCAATACATGCTGTTATGCAACACCCATATTATGACGCACAATACATATTCCAATTAGTAGCGGCTGATATCAGAAGGCATGATAGTTATAGATCCTCTCGTTAATGATGAAAATATTTTATTAATTGTCGCTATTTGTCTTATAACATCATTTTCATTTACATTATGTTTTATCTACTTTTAAATTGTATTATATAGTAGAAATTTTCTATGCTTAAAATTTGACGTGCAATTTATTATTTATATCATAATATGAGAATAATATATTTGTAATTGTTTTTTTTTTGTTACTTATATATTTATAATAAACATTCAGATAACATTAACTAAAGTTGAGTAAGCGAAGTAATAACAATACTATTACGTATTAGATACGTAGTAGATTAATATAGGCAAATTTGTTCTTATTATTTTTTTAAGATGAGGTCTTGCCTTGTGATCTTTATTATTGTGCGACAGACTCGTACTTCTATGCCCTTTGATACCGAAATTACGTTTTTGATATATTTATAGTAGCAA